ATGCTGAGGTAGGTCCCAATCTTGAATCGCAACTCATTTTCATTAACACTCAGCTGATTTGTATTCGTGTAACGAGATTTTTCATGCTCTTATTTTTGGACTGTTTTTTTTTTTTGTTTTTTCGTTGATTAGAATATTTGAAGTGGTGGTCTATCCAGGAAACGAAAAAACGAACTTCATGAAAGCCTTCAGCAGCAGGATGATTACCGAACGATTTACCGTTATTCCAAGCTACTGGAAGAGCGCCAACTGCTGTGTTCGAAAATTTTTTGGAGGAATGGAGGGTTTTTTTTTTTGGAATTTTTTGGAAGAATGAAAGGAAAAATGAAGAATTTTTTGGAGAAAGGAAGGAATTTTTGGAGAAGTGGAAGAAAAAGGAGGAATTTTTTGTAGGAATGGAGGAAAAAAAATTTTTTGGAAGAATGTTGAAAAGCTATTTTGATTGAATATTTGCTACTTTACAACTGGATGCAAACAAAAACAGACGGCTGTGGAACGGAGAGATAAGTAACAAAGCAAACAGAAGATGCCCTGCTACCACCTGAACATGCATGGATGAGCTGTACTGCCACCGTTATTTCTGGCCATCCGAATACGTTGCTTTTATGATTGATGCATACTTTGACCTGTCAGCGCGTTGCACTTGCGGCCGTTATTCAACTGATAAGAACTGGCGAAACTGGGCCCTATAAAACAACTGATATGAAGCTGCTTACTGGTAAGATTTCCTTCGAAAGAACCGGACAGCATCGGAATGTTAATCGCTTTCTTTTTGCTCCTCAGCAGCTTCGGCTTATCAGCTTCTCGTTCGGCTACGGTTTGAATTTTTTTAAATTAACCTCATTTTAACTCGTAAAAATACACTTTTTGTTGAGTGGATAGTAGGAGTAGAAAGATTCAACTTAGGTGTCATGTACAAAAGGACATTCTACGATGCAGTCTGTGTTTCATCCCTTAGCTGTAAACACAGACCGGACTATACATCCCATACTTCCCATACTTCTGGTGTCAGTTTTCAAAATTAACAGAACTGCAATATTTTTATAATATGAACAGTTATTGTTTCATCATCGCATTTCTTCACCTTACCAGTTAGTGCAGCTAGCAAGCAACATCTTTATCTTTATTCTTTATGTTGAGCCTTCCTCATCCACGTTATTCCATGCGATGGCGAGAGCTGATTAGTCCTTTGCACTGATGGCCTTCTTTTAAATTTGCTTCGGGGCCATTAAAGTTGACTGCCATGAAAGATGTGATATGCTGTCGATTAGTGCTTGTAGAAGAAATTATGCGAAGAAGAGCTGGAAAAAAGCCGTATTTACCTCGAAAGTATCCGAGGAAAGATGCTCGTAAAAGAAGAGCAAAGACGCGATCAACGAATTCAAGCAGTGAGCAAGAAGTTACCAGATGCAATCACAGTTACCAGATGGAATGATCGGGCAAACACATTCGATTGCCCGTCAGACCAACAACAACTGCGTAAGTATTTTCGAATGTTCCGTTGATTTGAATTAGTTTTTTTTTTCAGATTCAGTAACTTTATCTTCCGTTAATTTTGACTACACTTGTGCAGTCTTCAATTATTTGGAAGATTACAAGCCCAATACTTAACCCACTGGTTATGGCACTGTTGCAATCAAAAGAGCTAATCGTTAGAAACTCTTTTTGTAGAGCTATTTTTATGTTACTTTTTCCTATTTTTATGTTTTTTTTTAAATCTTTTACGAAAATTTATTTCGAAGATAACAAGCTCAATACTTAATCCACTGGTTACAGTACTGTTGCAATTTAAAGAGCTAATCATCAGAAACTCTTTCTGTAGAGCCGAAATTTTATTTTTTTTAAAATCTATTTTTACGAAAAGCGTTGGC